TCGCTAAAGTAGAAGATCGAATGCTTCAAAGGCAAACCTCATGTTACAAAAAATTGGCGGAGGTTACGACGGTTAATTTACAGGGCTACGAAGCGTTATTTTCTTTGGCGTAGCATTTAACCAAAAAGGAACAAGTATGCGGAACATTGGGGAAGATTGCGGCGAATTGAAAACAGCAACGTAACTTGAAAGATGTAGGCTGATTATTATCAAATACTTTTCCATTTTCTCATCTACTTTTAATTTTGAGTGATCTTGATCGAATTTGAACAAAAACTGGTTAAAAACTTGTTTGACCTTCAAAGACCTTCAGTACGCCGTGTTCATGATAGCCGCCGTGTTGGTTTTTATGTTACTGCAAATTTATCTCGTAATGAAATTGAGGGCCATGAGAAAGTGCATTTTAAAAGGCCTTCACCAGGGAATATCAGGGTTCGTTTGCCAATCAACAACTGAAACGACCCAGCTCAGAAAAGATCGTTAATGAGAATCATTGTTTTAATTGGTTTTTATTTCCTGAATGTCAGCAAATGGTCGCATAAGAAATCATTCGGTGATACCGTGGTTTACTATAAGCAAAAGGCCCGTAACAAAACACGATTCATGCTAATTTATTGCGTATTTATTGCGAACCCGGTTAGAATACTCCTCCACAGACCAGCTGACCTTGAACAACCTTCAATAGACCGCGCAATTTGGTTTTTCTTATTGTAAAGCAAATTTAATAACAGCGTGGAGTGGCCTGTGAGGGGTAAGCAACTTGAAAACAAATTATAAGTCTTCCTCAATATAAAATAGTTTTTGCTACAATTTCGTTGCAGTGCTAGCAAGCTTGAGAGTTTGAATCGACAAAATATCTTGATGTTTGAAGTACATAGTTTAACCAATTATACTTTCTAAAAGTTTCGATCCACATCAAACGTAAAACAGATACTTTTCACCCACATTAGTCTAACATTCAAGAAGTTTGCCGCCTCGTGTAAAACCAAAATGCAAATTGATAGGCGTCGAAAGTAAGAGGCGTCATTCCTCTTTTGTAGGTGAATCTTTGCTGACGTCATTGTTTACATTTCTTTCATTACCATACGAGTTTGCGCGGACAAGGCATCACGCAAGACATAAATTGACTACAAACATTTTAAGGGCGTGTCACACTTAGTAATTGATAAAATATCTGGCTCTTTAGGGGTAATATTCGAAGAGAAATTGGTTTTCAAAAACTGCAAAATATCAGTGGCAAAAGCGCTAATGAGCTCATACCTTCTTTGTAAAATTTTGAGTTTTTAAACCACACAAAAAGGTATTCAGTGCATCGGGCTCAAATTCCTTGGGACTGGAAATCATGCTGTCCTTTCAATATTCAGAACTAATGTTTTTGTAGCTCCATCAGAAACTGTATCGCTTATGCTAATGAGGCAAATATTGTAAACAAAGATTTGCCTATGGCACGCGTTCAGGAATTTCGATCAGTTTCAAATTATTCGGAATAACCTTCAACGCATTTGCGTCTTAATAGAGTATTACAATCTCAGATAATATATTCCAGTGTAGTTATTTGCGATCCAGGTTTCTGTTCAGTATATCAGAAAACAATCACGGTGGCTATCGTGACGTGAATGTCTTGTATTTAATAAGAAACAAAATAGGAATTTATTTTGCCACGTGCAACATAAGTAAACCACTTTCGCATTTTCTTGGCAATAAATTTCTTACTGTTCAAGTTTATTTGTTAACAGCCTAGAAATATTTCTCAGCTATATAACTTCACCAAGTGAGAAGTAGTAGTTTACTCATAAATGTTTTTTCTTAATTTTTTCATAGTTTTTCCTTGCCTTGCTCAGTTCTTCAGATGGATTCCCATGGATTTTCAACGATTTCAGTTGAAGACAAATGGCTAATTGAGGCATGAAGAACATTCTAGATCATGCTTGTATGGTTTATGCATAGTATAGTAAACTTAGATGTAAATAAGCATTTATAGGGATAAGATGTCGGCCTTTTCACCTCAGAGAGTGATCATAATCCATTTTCTTTTTACAACTCTTGACATTACAGAGTATTCAAGAAGACAAATGAGCAAGAAATTTTCAACAAGGATTATTGTCTTGATCTACCGTCAAATTCTCATTACCATTGTTGAAAGATAATATGGAAATCACGAATGAGAATTAATTCGTTTCAATATAATAAGCGCGCACCCATGTTGTTGAAACTGGAACAAAACTTTTTTTTTCAAGGAATTTTCCTGAACATTTCATATTACGGCGCAATTAACTGGCATTTTTTTTATTATTTCGTCATTTTTTTTTACAGTCTCAACCTTGTTTAGAATTGATTTGAGTGACGATAAATTGGGCTAGGTGAGAATAGACCCTTTCCAGGATCCGGTCACATGGTATGGAATTAATTACGCTGGGACGCAAGTTACACAGTGGGACTTCCAAAACAAAGGAACTCGTACCAGTCCAGCCCGACTTTCCTTTGCTTTGAAAGTCCCACTGTGTAACTTGCGTCCCAGCATAATAAATTCCGTACCATGTGACCGGATCGTGCAAAGGGCCTATTTTCAAATTAATCTCGAGCAATGATCATGCCAGTGTCAAGTTAATCTTTAACTAAGCAATATTGCCTTGATGAAATATTAAATTTTCCTAACTGATTTTGAGAACTGATTTATGCAAAATTAACTTGAATAAAACGTGTCCAGCTTGTGGAAAGTATAAGCCAAAATCGATGTTGCGTTTCGTCAGTCGAAATTTAGAAATAAATTTCGCGAATCATTTCAAGGTATAGCGTAGTTTTAACCATCAGACGTTTATATTTATTCTTCCTTGCAGTTAATTCGAGTGACACCAAAATTACGATTTAGAAGAATTCACAAAACTCTCTTGAACAACTTTTAAGCTATTTTGTTAGCGGAATCAAACTTAATTATTGACTGGCAAAAACTGACACTGTTCATGGACCAAAATATCCAGTTATATCTAACTTTTATATTTTGTTTTTGGTCTTCTTCAATAACATGGGTGCGCACAATGTACAATTGATGATTTGATATTAGGTTGTCTTTTTGACAAAGAAACGAAACTAGATTTATTCTCCTAAAGCCATGAAAATCACACTTAACAATTCTGAAACTACAATTAATCTACCAAAATTTGTATGTTTTCATTATCTCATAAGTTCAGCAAACAATCATTTGCCTGTTTAAACCTAATCTTTTTTTCTAGAATTCGAATACTTAGTACAGTGTTGCACTAATGTTTAGCAGGCATTTCTGTCTAATTTGCAGATAGTTTTGTCAGTAAAATAACACAGCTTTACTCAAATATTTATAATTTTGATCGAGTGTTCTCTTGATGACGTTGCTACGTATATAGTTTTTCGCAGAATTGTAATTTATTTTCATACTTAGTGTTTCGTAAGTAACTTCTATTCATGGTGTTCTTAGCAAAATTGTTTCATTTTATTTCCATTTGTACTTAGAAATGTAGTTAACAAGTACTACAACTTGTAAATTAAATAAGTTTATAGCTACTTAACATTTCAATAAAATTAAAATAAACAAACAGCTCTAATCAACAAATGAGTCTTGCTTTATTTACATGGAAAGACAAAACAAAATGCGCTTTTAAAAGGGGCCTGGAAACTAGTCGGAATGTAGGCTATCTCTTTTACTATTTTTTGACTATGTAGGGTTGCCGAGCAGGGAAAAATTTCTGAACTTTTAAACAGGGTTTAGCAACAAGTCAAAATAAATGTAGTCTTTTGATGAGCGAAATCTGTTTGCGAAATGCACAGATTTTTCCCGCCAAAAGACTTCGTTTATTTTTGACTCGCTAAGAGACTCCATTTAAAAGCGCAGCCTTTTTTCCCGCCAAAAGACTTAGTGTTTTTTTTTCTTAATTAATCGGTCCCTTTTATAAGCGCAAAAAAATTCCCGCCCAAAGACTTAGATTTCTTTTTTTTTCGCCAAAGTACTTGACGCTTTTTACTCTTGCCGAATGTCTTGGAGGCCTTATTCCGCGATCTCGTTTCTGTTTCTCGTAATTTGGACCGCTAAAAATGTCCAGTAAGCGTGTTATTTCTTCATTAAATAATTGTACAAGGATTTAGCACGGAAAAAATCAATCGTAGAAATCCTTATTAGGAAACTTCAATGGAGATTTTGATAGTGCGATACATTTTCTTCACTCCTGCAAGAGAAGAGACCAACATTAGAAATATAGCAATAGCCAACAGACGATTGGCAATGAGCTTTATCAGCAATAATACATAACAGTTAAGAGTTCCAGGTGGTAGAACATAACCTGACAATGTATTCAAATGTAACATTTTTGGCTCAGAAATTATCATACGATAGATTGTTCAGTTAACGATTTGTTTACTAAAGTTTAAAGTTTTCACTCAGCCTTCAATTTTAGGAGTGCTTTTCTTACAATTCCACGCCAAAAATCGCGACAAAATACAATTTAGCGTGCAACAATACATAAATTCAACGCCTACACAATTCAGCTGGATTTTTAATAATTGAACGCGTATATAACACCGATGCAACAACATTACAGTGTTCATTTAATGGTATTCACAAAAAAAGTATCAGATAAAAAACTGTCTAGTTTCGAAATTCGCGGCCAAAAAAATACCGGCCCTATTTTAAGTATTTGACATCTTGAATTTTCAACATTCATTTCCCAGGAGAAGGAAGTAGTCTAACCGTAATCAATACCCCCTGTGTCCCTCTTTAACCCTCTCTCGACAGGGCAGGGTAGGTTACCCGGTGATCGTGGGAGAGTCGCATCTTTCTTTTGGTTAAGGCAAATTTAATAGAACGTGTTATTATAATTAAACTATTACGAAGCAATTTCAATAGCTATATATAAAAAAAATTACACNGGAATTAATTATGCTGGGACGCAAGTTACACAGTGGGACTTCCAAAACAAAGGAACTCGTACCAGTCCAGCCCGACTTTCCTTTGCTTTGAAAGTCCCACTGTGTAACTTGCGTCCCAGCATAATAAATTCCGTACCATGTGACCGGATCGTGCAAAGGGCCTATTTTCAAATTAATCTCGAGCAATGATCATGCCAGTGTCAAGTTAATCTTTAACTAAGCAATATTGCCTTGATGAAATATTAAATTTTCCTAACTGATTTTGAGAACTGATTTATGCAAAATTAACTTGAATAAAACGTGTCCAGCTTGTGGAAAGTATAAGCCAAAATCGATGTTGCGTTTCGTCAGTCGAAATTTAGAAATAAATTTCGCGAATCATTTCAAGGTATAGCGTAGTTTTAACCATCAGACGTTTATATTTATTCTTCCTTGCAGTTAATTCGAGTGACACCAAAATTACGATTTAGAAGAATTCACAAAACTCTCTTGAACAACTTTTAAGCTATTTTGTTAGCGGAATCAAACTTAATTATTGACTGGCAAAAACTGACACTGTTCATGGACCAAAATATCCAGTTATATCTAACTTTTATATTTTGTTTTTGGTCTTCTTCAATAACATGGGTGCGCACAATGTACAATTGATGATTTGATATTAGGTTGTCTTTTTGACAAAGAAACGAAACTAGATTTATTCTCCTAAAGCCATGAAAATCACACTTAACAATTCTGAAACTACAATTAATCTACCAAAATTTGTATGTTTTCATTATCTCATAAGTTCAGCAAACAATCATTTGCCTGTTTAAACCTAATCTTTTTTTCTAGAATTCGAATACTTAGTACAGTGTTGCACTAATGTTTAGCAGGCATTTCTGTCTAATTTGCAGATAGTTTTGTCAGTAAAATAACACAGCTTTACTCAAATATTTATAATTTTGATCGAGTGTTCTCTTGATGACGTTGCTACGTATATAGTTTTTCGCAGAATTGTAATTTATTTTCATACTTAGTGTTTCGTAAGTAACTTCTATTCATGGTGTTCTTAGCAAAATTGTTTCATTTTATTTCCATTTGTACTTAGAAATGTAGTTAACAAGTACTACAACTTGTAAATTAAATAAGTTTATAGCTACTTAACATTTCAATAAAATTAAAATAAACAAACAGCTCTAATCAACAAATGAGTCTTGCTTTATTTACATGGAAAGACAAAACAAAATGCGCTTTTAAAAGGGGCCTGGAAACTAGTCGGAATGTAGGCTATCTCTTTTACTATTTTTTGACTATGTAGGGTTGCCGAGCAGGGAAAAATTTCTGAACTTTTAAACAGGGTTTAGCAACAAGTCAAAATAAATGTAGTCTTTTGATGAGCGAAATCTGTTTGCGAAATGCACAGATTTTTCCCGCCAAAAGACTTCGTTTATTTTTGACTCGCTAAGAGACTCCATTTAAAAGCGCAGCCTTTTTTCCCGCCAAAAGACTTAGTGTTTTTTTTTCTTAATTAATCGGTCCCTTTTATAAGCGCAAAAAAATTCCCGCCCAAAGACTTAGATTTCTTTTTTTTTCGCCAAAGTACTTGACGCTTTTTACTCTTGCCGAATGTCTTGGAGGCCTTATTCCGCGATCTCGTTTCTGTTTCTCGTAATTTGGACCGCTAAAAATGTCCAGTAAGCGTGTTATTTCTTCATTAAATAATTGTACAAGGATTTAGCACGGAAAAAATCAATCGTAGAAATCCTTATTAGGAAACTTCAATGGAGATTTTGATAGTGCGATACATTTTCTTCACTCCTGCAAGAGAAGAGACCAACATTAGAAATATAGCAATAGCCAACAGACGATTGGCAATGAGCTTTATCAGCAATAATACATAACAGTTAAGAGTTCCAGGTGGTAGAACATAACCTGACAATGTATTCAAATGTAACATTTTTGGCTCAGAAATTATCATACGATAGATTGTTCAGTTAACGATTTGTTTACTAAAGTTTAAAGTTTTCACTCAGCCTTCAATTTTAGGAGTGCTTTTCTTACAATTCCACGCCAAAAATCGCGACAAAATACAATTTAGCGTGCAACAATACATAAATTCAACGCCTACACAATTCAGCTGGATTTTTAATAATTGAACGCGTATATAACACCGATGCAACAACATTACAGTGTTCATTTAATGGTATTCACAAAAAAAGTATCAGATAAAAAACTGTCTAGTTTCGAAATTCGCGGCCAAAAAAATACCGGCCCTATTTTAAGTATTTGACATCTTGAATTTTCAACATTCATTTCCCAGGAGAAGGAAGTAGTCTAACCGTAATCAATACCCCCTGTGTCCCTCTTTAACCCTCTCTCGACAGGGCAGGGTAGGTTACCCGGTGATCGTGGGAGAGTCGCATCTTTCTTTTGGTTAAGGCAAATTTAATAGAACGTGTTATTATAATTAAACTATTACGAAGCAATTTCAATAGCTATATATAAAAAAAATTACACTTTTCAACAGATACCATTTGAGTCCATCGAACGTTCGATGCGCAAACTCCATGCCGAACTTGCACAATGTTTGTTCGTCGAAATGGAAGGTTTTTTCGTAAAATTTGCTTCGGTGATAGAACAAAGTTAAAGAAGAAAATTAGTCCTCTTTTACAGCAAACAATAAACGAACAAGATTACAGCAGAACAAAATAAGTAATTCCGAGAGTTCAATGATACTCACCTTTGGGTACACAGAGCAGTCATAAATTTTAAAACGATCCTTAATAAGCCCTGAAACGACAGAAAAAAATACATGTAAATTTAGATTCCCTGAGTGCGATAAGAGTTTAAGATTGGGGTGAACCAGGGCTACGCAGTACTCGGGCTGAAATTAGAAGTGCATGTCTGTTCTGGAGAGGGTGTATGTTCAGAATGAAAAATATTAAACCCTGAAATATAATAACCACTTGTGCTTGCTTGTTCTAAATCAAAAATTTATAATAGCTCTTTCGCGAGTAAACTAGTTTTTCCACAGCTGCGTTACACTGCAGCGAGTCACATACAGTAATGCAGAGCTCTGAGTAGTTTCTCCTTCGACTGAATATACAACGTCGCGTATGTGATAAACGACGAGAGAAGAATACAAACATTTACCCATTTAACAGTGGTTTCTATAAACTACCAACCTGAAAAACTCCCACCAAGTCAACAGCCATAACCAGAGCGAGCGAAGGGCTAAAACAAGTCTCCAGAATTCAACACGCGTGTCTGTCACCACAAAGTGCGCGTAAAATCTCCCCTTTAACTTGAATTTTGCTCCAAACATCGATACCTGAACACGCGGCATATCTGCCGTTTTGTCCGGACGTAGCAGTCTTCTGTTTTACCAGGGTATTGTAGCAAGCTTTTCCATTTCCGAAGCGATTACATAAACGGAGCAAGAACCAGCGAAGGCGATGGCAAACTGAACTTGTGATGAATAATTAGCAGCGACAGCACACGCTCTTTGAATAATTTGCAATTTAAATTAAAACCAAGATCATTTTCGCGCCAATTTTCAGTCACATAACTAAAAATGGTCTCGTTCAGTCCATAAGTCTCAGACGACTTTAAGGTTGCCGTCCACAATAACAATAGAAGAATTTAGTGACAAAGCAATAAAATGTGTAAACCATGTTTTTTTTGTTAATTTCTTAATTTCTTTATTTTTTTTCCAATACGTAGTAGGCTTAATGTAGGGGATCTCACCGTTTTGTTGTTTTTCGTTTGACGTGAGATTCTGCGGCCTCGCTAATTTTTGTTCTGGACAATTACGCCTTTCACAACGATTTCAGAAAGAAAGTTGTTACTGTTCATGTTGTCTTGTTTTAAGAAATGAACGGAAACTATGCAAAGCATCATCAATTTATTAAACTATTCTTTGTTGTGTAAAACTATTTTTCACTGCTCTGTCAAATTCAAACCCGAGGGACAAAAACCTAAATGAAAAGTAACAAAACCGAAATCAAAGTTCAAGCCAATTGTTGAATAGCTTTATCTAGGTTTACACCAATAAGCCACCCGGCACCTAAGGTGTATTTTGTAAGTAACTTAAACCATCAGATTTTAAATAACGGAGTCGTAATCAGAAGCGAAAAGTGATGCGATCTAGTGAAAATTAAACCAACGGAGTCGGAAGCAGAACAACCATTCTGCTTATAACTCCGTCGATTACGATCCAATGAAAACTAGATTATCGGAGTCGAAAGCAGTAGCGGAAGAATAAACTAATCACAATGTTCGATTCCGGGCTTTGTGATTGGGGATGGCTCTTCAGCTTCTGCTTTCGAATCCTACAATCTATAACTTTCACTGGATCATAAGCGACGGGGTAGTAATACGGAATCAGAAGAAATGGAAACATTCTGATTCTCCCGACTGCGATTCCGTCGAGCTTATGACTCCGCTTACGACTCCGATGTTTGATTTTCACCACGTCATAAGCTCTCTTACGACTCCGACTACGACTAAGACTCTGACTCCGTCGCTAGTGAAAACTAGCCTTTAACAAGAGGTACGTATTTTTGGATCCAGTGTATGTTTTTAAGTCATATTCCAGAGTTTGCCTGGTCAGCTAAAATCCTCTATCAACGGTCTCGAACTTGCTATTTAATTCTCTTCTTGGGATTTTTGTAGGAAACCAAAGTTTCACGTGACTCGCCCAGAATATTAATCCAATTGTTGGCGATCCATTTTTCGCCCTTGATGATATCGCATCCTCCATGATAGCTCATCTGATCTAGCCCCCCGTACCATCCAGTCTTGGCGTCACGTAAGTGATTGTACCACATAATTGCTGTTCCTTTTCGTGGCTTTACAAACAAGTTGGCTTTGTGGCAATGCCTGCTCAAATCACAGCGGAATTTCGTGATCTTTGCCCAGTCCTGAAGGAACGAAGCACAATATCATTTTATATTGGTAGTGCTAACATAATCCACATTACATTGGATATTGCAACCCACATCTAACGACCGCGCCAGGCCTGTTCCTGAATAAGGAATACATGTGATTTAATGAACTTGCGCATGGCCACCATAGACATCACTTTTCAAAATTCCCTGATAAGATACAATTTCCCCGACTAAATAAATACGAAATGTCAGACAAAGTAGTTACTTCTAGCGTGAACTTACAGCCTTCCTTTCCGCTCGTTCATGAAGACTAAAACGTTTTCAACAAATTTTCCTTCTTCATTGAGAAAAAACATCGTTGAGATCACAACCTTCAATGCCGTGTTAAATTATTTCAATTTCCCCTGACTTTTGCCCAAAATGTCAATTTTCACTGATTCAATTCTAAATTCCCTGACTTTTCCCTAACGGTGAAGAATTCCGTTTTTTTCCTGATCATTTCCTGACCTGTGGCAACCCTGTCACGGTATATAATTCACAAACATTAAACACCTAAACAGCTCGTTCTAGACACTGGTACAAAAAGAAAAGTGAGATTTTTTCAAGTTTGTTACTAAGTAATGGAGTTTTTGTACTGTACCTCGGTACTAAACGTTGCGTTATCAGCAACTGGAAATGCAGTCTCGCCTCCTTCTTCCACGTCGTTTAGAAAGTACAGTACAGTGATATATCTGCAATGAACGAAACGAAATCGAGTTTACTAGCCTGCGAGAAGGCTCACCTTTGAGTCACACCCACGAGCGAAGAGTGAATCGGCGAGCGAAGCGATTTGGCGGGGAGGAGTCTGGTGCGGAAGAGGCCAGAGTTCTCCGCGCTTACTTCAGTTCATCACTTTGTGAGAAGATAGATGCCTACACAATTTTTCAGGTTGACGGCCTACGGTTACACACCCCGCTCCGAGAATATGTGGAGAAATCATCTGGCAAACAGGGTAATCATCTTACGATTTTAAAGATTCTTCAGTTCACAAAAAATCCTAGAAAATTTAACTCCGTGATAAGTGGTTTAAGTGGAAGCTCTTGGGATGGCTTTTGTCCTCAGCAGAAGGGAACAAGAACTAGGTAAGAGGGGAAAAAGTAGCCAGGGGATAAAGACGCGCCAGTTCCCCCCTCCCCCCTCACCCCCATCGCAATCTCCTCCCACCCTTTCCTACAAGAGAACAGCCCTTTCATGGAAAAGGTGAGTGATACTTTATAAAACTAGTAACGATTTTAATTCTATTATTAAAATCTGCTTTTCAGTGGACTAAAAGTACCTGCAAAGACGGCAGTGACGCTTGTCTCGGAAAACACAACAAGGAACCCTTGGGTCGACGTCTTGTGAGTCATGGTGACAGTGATAATGTCCCTCGGGATGATAATGAACAACCTAAAAGTAAATATGTCAATACATCATACAATTAATCAATCAATCAGTTATTCAATCAATTCATAATCAACCAATCAGTCCGTCGCTCAGCCCGCCAAACACCTACTCGCACCATCGGTCGATCGGTTAGAATGGTGTCTGACGAATCAATGAATAAATCTGCTACGCCACTCTAAACAATCAATCAACCAACCAATTAATTGACATTCAGTCGGCCGGTCGGTCGGTCGGTCAGTCAGTCAGTCAGTCAGTCAGTCATGTAAGTGGTGGTTCATTTACTCCTTTCATTTATTCACTAAACTAAAAACTCAATAGGTCTGTCTATTTTAAAACAATTAGAGGTTTCTATCGAAAATCAATAGGAAGATTGATGAGCTCCCAGTGCCGTCATTCGACGATTACTGTGTAGTTAATCGAATTGCGCGTTTATAGTCAGTAAGTCAGTGGGTGATGCCAATAATAATTTAGTCGGTCACCCAGTTACTTTATATAACTAATTCACCCATCAGTCAGTCAATCAATCAATCAATCAATCAATCAATCAATCAAAAATTGAGTTATTTAGCCAGGTAACGTTACGTTCATGTCTTTTAACATCGTCTTTCACTTCGGACACAGTCTAGTGGCCGCTGCGCAGAGGTGTTCATTCAGAGCAAGCTATGATGTGGAAACTTTCCGCTAGGCATTTCAGTCTTGTGTTTGATCACAATATATTCTCACCTGAAGTTCCTCGCTTTCTTCTACAACTGCCCTGGGAAGCTTTGTTAAAGCTGCCACTCTGAAAAGGAATATTTTGATTAAAACTCTTAATTTAATTTATTAAGGTAAAGCGTTCCCCTGCACCCAGCTCGCGCACTATATTACTTCTGTGCCCGCTACGAATGCGCATGCTGGGTAATTAAGTGAATGGCTTAATTAAATGGTAAAGCAGGGCTTGTAAGTAAGCAAGGTAACTTCGAGATGGAGAAATGCTCCGCACCCAGAAGTTAAACGTTTAATATGGCCTAAAGACCCGAAGCAACAGACCTTTCCCGCATTAAGTAAGCTAGGTAACTACGACAACGATGTGATATGTAATATAATGTGATATAAGGCGCGAGATAAGAGAGTCACGCTCAAGGAAAATGAGTAATTACCCTCCCAGCACATGTGAAAACAAAGGCACGCAACAGAAACCAGTTGATCTGGACCCAGAATCAACACGAACTTTTAACTGGGATAGAGCGATTCTCAATTGAGTGTCGAAAGCAATTAGACAATTACTTTGGTTTTAGTTTTGGTTTTACTACGGTTTGAGATTGGCTGAGTAGTCTAATTGGTAAGTAATTGGTTTGGTTTTGGTTTTATGACACTCAATTGAAAACCGCTCTAATTCAGGGCCAATACAAAGTGTTAAATCCTGTGGCTTATAATCCACAATAATTCTAGAATACCTTCATTTATCGAAAGCCTAAACCTAGTGTGGATACAAAGGATGCTCGTAACACAGTAAATGGTAGTTTGACTGGTGCGATTGTCCATTTGAGTACAGTCCTCGTAAAGGACTGTCATTTTTGCCTTTCGCAAACCCGATCGAAAATCTCCATCATGGATCGATTGTCTGTCCTTTACTCCGAAGATGACTTCCTTTCAGCTTTTGGACATTTCAATCACCAACAACAGTCTTTTCGGGACTATCAATTCACACCAGCCCCTTTAGCCCCTTACTAAGCGAGTATGAATAAGAGCTATGCACGTGCTGTTGCATCGTTTCTCCTTTTCCCATGGTAGCCTGAAAGGGTGCCTAATGCCCTAGTCAGATTACTGGCGTTCAGGCTGCTATCCGTTGGGTCGCGTTCCTTCCAATTCTTTTGTTTCTCCTTTAGCGTGTGTCTTTATCCTCGGTATTTTATCCTGTTTCACTACTCAATGACTGGCAGCTTTTGGATATTTTATTCACGCCCTTCTCTCTCTTAATTGCCTAGCCCTTCGTCTTAAGTTTTGGGTGGCTAGGATTTTCTAGTTCAAGTTTTGGGTTTTGCTTTCGAGTGTTGGCCATAGACCTATCCCGCATTCTACTTCAGTGCGTTCGAACAACAGCTCCAGAGCGAGGTTAGGGTGGACATTTTCATACATTTTTATACATTGCTGTGTCTTTTTGTCCACCCTGATATCGACTCGAAGCAATTGTTTGTTGGAAATAATGCGAGAAAGGTCTGTTGCTTCCGGTCTTTAGGCCATATTAAACGTTTAACTTCTGGGTGCGGAGCATTTCTCCATCTCTTATTCTGCGAACGTGAAAGGGACTGTCGCGAACAATATGTTATCCCCACCTAGACAGACAGCTTATGTCAGTTTAACCAAAAAATATTTATACTTGTCATTCAGGCCTTTGATTTTTCGATGGTCCAGCCATGTTTGCCTGCTGTTTCGGCTTTTGACACGAGGTAGCTTCTTTGCCATGCTGTGAAGACTGGTCATTATTCTGTGGGTCGTTACTGCCAGAAACTCCTTCAAGTCCATAACCCCTTTAAAAGAAAATACACCTGTAGTTAATTAATAAGAGATTGCAAGAAATCTTGGCCACACACTTTATCTTTGCTCATTAGCTCTTGACTACGGATTGTTTGTAAATAAATAAACTACACAGAAATGAAAACACTAAATTTATTAATTTTTAAGAAACAGAAAACATGTACCGTGTTTCTATCGAGTTGTAAGAACACTAGTGGAAGTCTGGGAGAACGAGAAATGCTGTGGGAACACGAGTCGACAGGCGAGTGTTTGCACAGCTTTCCCGAGTTCTTCCAAACTCAGCTAGTTCCACGAGTGTGTTGGCCTCATCAACTATCACTTCAAAGAAATCTTGAGCTCATAATCTAATTGTTAAGTAAAGACACGACTTCAACCATTCAGCGCAGGTATTTTCTTTGAACTAGTTTCTAAAAGAAGACAACGTAAGTAAAAAGCAGGAGCAAAACTTTTACTCGCCATCGTTATTCTTGTCTACTTTGAGTTTAGCAAACCTGCAAATATTAAAATAAGGGAATTTTAGGGCGAATGCGCCACATCATGACAAAAAGGTAAGCAATGACATTGGTGGTTTCAGTGGAGATGTTGGTTGTAGTGACGCGTGATTTTGGTGGTGATGACACGGTCGTAGAGGTGGCGGAGACTGTTGTATTGGTAATGATAGTTGTGGTTCTGGGGTGGAGGGGTCATGGCTTTCAGTGGTGGTGATGTAGCTTGTTGTGGTGGTGATGGTAGCCGTTGTCGTTAACAACGTTGGAGGGTAGCAAACAGAGGTGGGGAGGGTGCGTTCCCGTTTCTGGGGTTGTGGGGTCGAGTTTCAACAAAACTCACGAATCACACATACTATTAGCTACAGTTAACAACGGCTTACTTTTTCATAAATTCACGCATCGTGTATGTGTTTTAGTTGCTTTCCGCACATCACACACCATAACGTATCACGCATAAACCCTCACATCACATCACGTATCACGAATAAACCCTTTGCCACCCTGTTGGTGGCCAAAGTGGTGGTGATGATAATTTCAGTGTAAAGAATCACTCACATCTTGTCGACGTCTTCTTCAGAGAAATATAAATCACTGAGGTCAACAAGATTATGCATCACCTATTAAATATAAGGCAAGAATAAACCCTTCTGCTTATGTAAAATAATATTTTAACTACTTATTAACCGAGAGTGAGATCTTTACGGGAAAATCTCAAATCGAGACCCTGTCGTATTGACCGAGCGATAGCGAGGTCAATATGGCAAAGTCGAAGTTTGAGATTTTCCCGTAAAGACCGAACGTTCGAGGTTAATAACTTGTTTATTATATGGCTTTTTGAATTGTTTTTGTAGGCCCGTAATCGGCCCGTGGGCGTTACGGGAGAATAATGCCCTAGAATTAGCCAACCAGAGCGCGCGTTATATCCGCGACAAACACGAGCCATATAACAATGTAGAAAACCGGATGTCATAAAGAGGGCCTAAAAGATACCGAAAAGAATTCAGTGTTACTCTATACTGAAATATCTAATAGCTACAGTAAACATATTTCTTAAAAATAAGATCTCTAAACCCTCCACCATAGGAGCGTAAACAACGGCAGATTTACAGCACTGCAAACCGGCATATTTTCCCTTTAGTATACCAAGTTCTTCTCTATTATACGCATACGGATGGTCCAAGGTATCAGCTCTACTTTCTTAAAAAGATACTACTACCAAATGAAATACACTCTTTTTTTATAAGAATGTCCCTTTTCCCGCCCAGGCTGAATATTCTAGCTTATTTTTCTGCCAAATTTAGACTGAAAACATTCTTGTGAATATTCTTAGATTTTATTGTATCACCAAATTTTCAAAACACAAAATTGTATTATTTTCAAAATCTCGGCCTCGAGTTAATTCTTAAAATATTCTTAAATTTAGCCTCGATATTCTTTTAAAATATATTCTTATATATATATAAAGAATGTAATGACAGACACGAGGCGTCGAAGTTAATCAGTTGCGATCAAAAATTCCCGACTTAGGCTTGAAAACTGACTGACTCAAGCAGGGAGATGATAAAGAACTGTTACTATTTTTTCAGATCTGGGGCCCGTTTCTCGAAGGTAACGAAAAGTTTTCGCGCCCAGAAAGCCGTAACAAAATCTGAAACCTTATGATTACAGAGCTGTTTTATTCAAATATTCTTAATATGAAGAGAGGTTCTCTTCACATAAGAAGTTTCAGGCGCTCACACCTTTCTGTTTTTAGATAAAGATTAATTAAAAATGGCTTTGCGGGCCCAAAAAGTTTCCGGGGCTTTCGAGCAACGGGCCCCAGGTGTGAACCTCGTTTTACAGAAGTGTAGGACTATAACTTTTAAATTAATATGCCTTCAGGCGACCGCAGATATTTGCTTTCTGTACAAATTGTGGCCAGTCGGTCCTTCAAACTGAATTAAATGACGAATTAAGGTAGGTTAAGTTTTTGGTGAAAATAAAAGATTTTTTGTACTGGAACCAAACTGATTTACTTTTCCTTCAGAAGTACAGCAAGCGCATGTAGTTAGTTACTTTTCATGGAGAATGGAAAAACGTGTCAATACAAATAACACGATATTAAGCTTATCTGTTAATGCCATCAATTCACAGTCAGGGGTCATGTAAACATTAAAATACGTTCTCTTTCACGTTTTTTTTTTTTCCGTAGTTGACTGAACAAGCACGTGTACACAGTTCACGCGCTTGTTCGCTGGTGTTTTAAACAACATTGACGCTTTAAACTGAAGTAAATTCTGCATCAAAAAGAAAGAGAGAAGCCTATATTTCATACAATCAAAAAGGTCTGCATACGAGCCGAGTGGCCCATCAGGCCGGAGCTTATCCCGGGTTCTGTGGCCCGAAGTGACTAGGAGTATTTCTACTCCCCTCTGGATGGGCTGCCACCAAAACCATTACATTCGCCGGTATCTATTTATACTCCTGGGTGGAGAGAGGCACTGTGACAGTCGAGTTTCTCGCCCAAGAACATAGCACAGTAGTTCGAATCAAAACCGCTCGTTCCGGAGACGAGCGCACTAACCATGAGGTCATCCCGCCACATATTTCATACAATAACTGTCAAGTTTATCGCACGCTCATTAGCTAACTTCCAGTTTCAAATAGAAGGTCAGACACAAAGAAAGGGTACGGATCATCGCTCGCGGATCTTTCACAGCTTAGCGTCGTTAGTTCTAGCGCTCGCTATCAGAGATCAAGCGACAAATCCCACTACACAAAACTCTTTTTAAGAGAAAAATCACAGAAAGTCATCCAAAGAAAATGTATCAAAATCGTCTTCATCTTTTAATTCACGTTGCTTTCAACTGTAAAGCGAAAAAACTCAGTTTCTGTTTTCTTTTGTTGCGTTTAAAGTACTTTCCAAGTGGACTAAACTTGGTGATAATTCAGCGAGTTTTAAAGAATCTCCTAACGAAATTTTTCGTGAGTTATAGACATTCTTTTCTGCATTTTATTTTGGAGTGATTGTACGTAGATTGAAGGTTATGACGCAGTACATTCCGGGATCGTTTCAGTTCGCTGAATTAAACTTGGTGATAATTCAGCGAGTTTTAAAGAATCTCCTAACGAAATTTTTCGTGAGTTATAGACATTCTTTTCTGCATTTTATTTTGGAGTGATTGTACGTAGATTGAAGGTTATGACGCAGTACATTCCGGGATCGTTTCAGTTCGCTGAATTAAACTTGGTGATAATTCAGCGAGTTTTAAAGAATCTCCTAACGAAATTTTTCGTGAGTTATAGACATTCTTTTCTGCATTTTATTTTGGAGTGATTGTACGTAGATTGAAGGTTATGACGCAGTACATTCCGGGATCGTTTCAGTTCGCTGAATTAAACTTGGTGATAATTCAGCGAGTTTTAAAGAATCTCCTAACGAAATTTTTCGTGAGTTATAGACATTCTTTTCTGCATTTTATTTTGGAGTGATTGTACGTAGATTGAAGGTTATGACGCAGTACATTCCGGGATCGTTTCAGTTCGCTGAATTAAACTTGGTGATAATTCAGCGAGTTTTAAAGAATCTCCTAACGAAATTTTTCGTGAGTTATAGACATTCTTTTCTGCATTTTATTTTGGAGTGATTGTACGTAGATTGAAGGTTATGACGCAGTACATTCCGGGATCGTTTCAGTTCGCTGAATTAAACTTGGTGATAATTCAGCGAGTTTTAAAGAATCTCCTAACGAAATTTTTCGTGAGTTATAGACATTCTTTTCTGCATTTTATTTTGGAGTGATTGTACGTAGATTGAAGGTTATGACGCAGTACATTCCGGGATCGTTTCAGTTCGCTGAATTAAACTTGGTGATAATTCAGCGAGTTTTAAAGAATCTCCTAACGAAATTTTTCGTGAGTTATAGACATTCTTTTCTGCATTTTATTTTGGAGTGATTGTACGTAGATTGAAGGTTATGACGCAGTACATTCCGGGATCGTTTCAGTTCGCTGAATTAAACTTGGTGATAATTCAGCGAGTTTTAAAGAATCTCCTAACGAAATTTTTCGTGAGTTATAGACATTCTTTTCTGCATTTTATTTTGGAGTGATTGTACGTAGATTGAAGGTTATGACGCAGTACATTCCGGGATCGTTTCAGTTCGCTGAATTAAACTTGGTGATAATTCAGCGAGTTTTAAAGAATCTCCTAACGAAATTTTTCGTGAGTTATAGACATTCTTTTCTGCATTTTATTTTGGAGTGATTGTACGTAGATTGAAGGTTATGACGCAGTACATTCCGGGATCGTTTCAGTTCGCTGAATTAAACTTGGTGATAATTCAGCGAGTTTTAAAGAATCTCCTAACGAAATTTTTCGTGAGTTATAGACATTCTTTTCTGCATTTTATTTTGGAGTGATTGTACGTAGATTGAAGGTTATGACGCAGTACATTCCGGGATCGTTTCAGTTCGCTGAATTAAACTTGGTGATAATTCAGCGAGTTTTAAAGAATCTCCTAACGAAATTTTTCGTGAGTTATAGACATTCTTTTCTGCATTTTATTTTGGAGTGATTGTACGTAGATTGAAGGTTATGACGCAGTACATTCCGGGATCGTTTCAGTTCGCTGAATTAAACTTGGTGATAATTCAGCGAGTTTTAAAGAATCTCCTAACGAAATTTTTCGTGAGTTATAGACATTCTTTTCTGCATTTTATTTTGGAGTGATTGTACGTAGATTGAAGGTTATGACGCAGTACATTCCGGGATCGTTTCAGTTCGCTGAATTAAACTTGGTGATAATTCAGCGAGTTTTAAAGAATCTCCTAACGAAATTTTTCGTGAGTTATAGACATTCTTTTCTGCATTTTATTTTGGAGTGATTGTACGTAGATTGAAGGTTATGACGCAGTACATTCCGGGATCGTTTCAGTTCGCTGAATTAAACTTGGTGATAATTCAGCGAGTTTTAAAGAATCTCCTAACGAAATTTTTCGTGAGTTATAGACATTCTTTTCTGCATTTTATTTTGGAGTGATTGTACGTAGATTGAAGGTTATGACGCAGTACATTCCGGGATCGTTTCAGTTCGCTGAATTAAACTTGGTGATAATTCAGCGAGTTTTAAAGAATCTCCTAACGAAATTTTTCGTGAGTTATAGACATTCTTTTCTGCATTTTATTTTGGAGTGATTGTACGTAGATTGAAGGTTATGACGCAGTACATTCCGGGATCGTTTCAGTTCGCTGAATTAAACTTGGTGATAATTCAGCGAGTTTTAAAGAATCTCCTAACGAAATTTTTCGTGAGTTATAGACATTCTTTTCTGCATTTTATTTTGGAGTGATTGTACGTAGATTGAAGGTTATGACGCAGTACATTCCGGGATCGTTTCAGTTCGCTGAATTAAACTTGGTGATAATTCAGCGAGTTTTAAAGAATCTCCTAACGAAATTTTTCGTGAGTTATAGACATTCTTTTCTGCATTTTATTTTGGAGTGATTGTACGTAGATTGAAGGTTATGACGCAGTACATTCCGGGATCGTTTCAGTTCGCTGAATTAAAGTCAGGCTTCCCTGCACTTTCCCAGGGAAAATACAGACTTGATATTTTGGAACATATTGACGTCAGT